AGTCTGTAACTGAAGGGGGTTGTATCTACCAAAGTTGCTTCATGCCTGACTTTGAATTGGCTACAAACAATTGAGAATTTGTCCTTGTGTATTCATCTCCAAGGGCAAACAGTTTGGTTTGAATTTGTCATGAAGTCTAAATTAGCTGTTTTTGTGACTGAGAATACTATTACTTTCCTATGTCAGCCAGAGAAATGAAAAATATTTAAGTATTATTTCTATTTATCAGATTTATTCATATTAAGGAGAAATCATCTTTATGGCCATCCACAGAATTATGTGTGCCCAGTAGGTGCAATAATTTCATGAGATAAACACATAAACATTGGCAAAATACCCATAGCTGTTCTTTGGGAAGGAATTTATGCACTTAAGAAAAATTTTGGATATAGACAACCAGTTTTTTTTTTTACTTTCAGTGATCTCATAGTCTTTCTGTAGTGGGACTCCCCAGCAGTGAGATTTTGTCTAGTAGTTTGACTTGTATAATATTAGCTGCCATCCATTGTACATTCTCAGTGGCTTCTAGTAAAACCATTGCAACCAGCAGATATCAGAATTCACCCCATGAGAGAACTGAAAAGGACAAAATACTACCAGAATAAACAGGAAGTACAGAACAAACAACTTCCAAAACTATAGAAATAAAAGAGACACCTGGCTGGCTGAGCCATTATTTGAGGTTCTTCTGCAACATTGGGATAACCATCTTTGGCCTACAGGCCAAGAATATCTGTCAGAATTTTTTGTGAAGCAGAATTTTGGAGGAGTGACTATCTTGTCTTGACAAAGTTCGACATGAGACATCCTGTGTGTCCTGCTTGTGCAATATGGCAGCATATTGTTAGTAGTCAAGGCAAGGGAATTTTATTACCCAGCAGCAAGCTTTGTCACATTGAAAGCAAACTCCATATGGAGTTTCTTTGTTGCCCATCACCTTCTCTGAATTAAATTAGTGCTGCCAAAAACGGACATATTTCCCTGCCATGAAAAACCTTACATTATTAAAGCATTTAAAGTTATATGCCCTGTATATCTCTGAAGTGTTTCAAGGCCACCTATCTAAGTTATATCTCTGTTTAACCTTGAAAAAAATACCTAACATGACTACAAATTTGATTGTTATAGATTACTAGCTATTAATCTTCATTTTTAATTTTCTTAAACAGTTTTTAATAATAGTGTTCAATAACTAAAACTTTACATTACATCTTTGAATAAGCTGCATAGGTAGAATACTTTAAATAAGATTACAAACATATATACAATATGTCATAACAAAAATACATTAAAAATTTATAAAATACACAAAGATCCATACCAACATAAAATATTTGAGACTATTAGTTACCTTTTCGTCCTATCATTCCTATATACCCTCTTTCTTCACCAGATAGGAGAAAAAGAAGGATAGAGGAAAAAGAAAAAAAGAAACTTCCTAATCAAACCTCCTTTGTTTAGCTTACTCTCTGACTGTGACCAAAAACAACTTGCAACTAAACCCTAAACAATTATACACATCCATAACCCACCTAACAATTAAAAACAACCAACCCCACCTCTTGGAATTGTAGGCATAATTTTCTTTAATTTACTTTCTGCTATCTATGGGTCACATCCTTAGGGAACCCTAAAATAATTGGGATAATGGTCAAGGCTTAGGAGAGGTAGTTTTACCACTTATTGTTCAGTGTTTGTATGGTGAGAAAATATAGAGCATGTTTGAAGTTCCGGCTAGTGTAATCTGTGAGGCTGAAGAATCACAGCTAGTTGCTTCGAAGTACTTACGGATGTAGATTTTTGAGGAAACAGAAACAGACTTATTCTGAGAGCTACTTGTCTATTTCATTGGTGTCTTGCCCTTTTGTCCTGAAAATGCACAAATGTTTAAAGGTAAAAATAACTGCATTAACACAAGTATGTGATGTGTGGTGTATACAAATCAGCTAAAGAAGATGCTGAGCTCTGTGGTTGATCAGGTAAAACACATCTGTCAAACTTATAAGGCCATATGGATTGTATAGCCAAACTAATAAAAATCTCCATCCACACCATATGAAAAAATGGTATGTAATAATAAGTCATGAAGTATTTATAGCCAATGTGATTTACTATGTCTCAACCACTCTCAGAGCTGTTCCCAAGTAGAGAGATCAGTTTTTATGTCATTTTTCTTGAAGTTTCTTTTTTTTTTTTGCATTTTTCTTCATATTTGCAACCAAGATTTTCAGGATGTCCCCACAGTCAAATCTGGTCATTCTTAATTTCGAAGAAATCCATAGATTTTTGTTTTCTGTAAAAGCAAAGACTTAACCTTTCCTACAACACAGCACATTTCCTGACTTCCAATGTGAAGTTATATATACTTAAAATATGTAGATTGATTTAATTCAGCAATTTTTCTGTTATCTTGCAATGTTTCTCCAAAGTTGTTATTTTTTTGATCATTAGCATTTAAAATTAGTAAAGCACTACATAGGTTCCAAACAACTTTTCTCATCCTTATGTTGCTTATTGTTTTTATATTACTTTCTCTTCAGAGACTACTTTGTTGGTTTTAAACTATATTTTTCTATGACTGTCTCTACCCACTTCCATTTCTTTCTTCTACACTTAAGCATAGTCTCAGGTATACTGAACCTGTTCAGAGGTTTTCCCCGTCTGGCCCTGGCTTTCTGCCTGGCTTTCTGGCCTTGTGAGCTAAGCTGTAAATGGCCAGACCACAAATCACACTGCTCTACTCAGCATATGTTATTGTGGCTGGCTTTATCCCACTCTGGTCAGTCCAGCGGGCTATCCTACTGAATCAAAGCTGCAGCTGTGGTTTGCCTCTCCATGATAGCCTCGCCTCATGTCTGTGGCCATCAGCAAGGAGCCATGCCCATCTACCTCATTTCTGGGAAGCTGGTGGACCTGTGCTGCAGCAGGCATTTCTATCTACTGCTGAGTAATATGCCAGCTATTTAAGTGCTCAACTGCACTAGAGGGCTTCTTAAAGGAGTCGTGCCTCTGTACCCAGCAAGCACCAGGCCTGCTTGAAAGACAGTAGTTACTAAGAAGTCATGTCCAATTCCGGGTACACAACTTTTCTAAATTTTCTTGATCCCTGTATTTGGATAAACATCCCCAATGATCAATGCCAAAGTTTTGCTTGGACCACCATCACTCAGATAAAACACAGAGAATTCTTATTAATTATGAAAGCTTGGACTTACCTTAGACTTGTTTTTAATTAGCTCTTATAATTTAAATTAACATTTTTATATTAATCTACATTCTGCAGCATGGTTTTTTACCTCTCCCAAGCACAGTAAACCCACTTTCTCTGCCTCTGGATGGTGGAATGCCTGCCTCTCAGATTCTTTCTCCAAGTTCCTCTCTCTCAAGTTCTCAAGAATAGTTTTTGACAATTCAGATCTTTATTAAACCAATCAAAATTTGCCTTGGCAGAATCAACTTTTCATGTCGTATAAAAAGATTATCCACAACAGATATGCTTTATAATATCCATATTCCTAAACAAAATGATGAAAATGATAGCAGCAATGGTAAGTACCTCTAAACATTCTATATGTTTAGCAGCTTTTCTAAGTATTTTTCAAGTAATATTTCATCAACAGTTACTGAAAATCATTACACTAATATTGTGATTTTATACATGGAAATATGTATCTTCTTCTCTACACAAGTAGAAGCAGAAGTCAGAAATGTCACTTAACTCACCAATAGCAAAGATCTAACAAGTAGTAGACCTAAAATTGAAATTAATGTAATCTACAGCCAACTACTACATTTATTTATTTATTTTAGATCTTTAGGAGGGAAAAAAGGAGGCTTTTCTAGGCTACTTATTCAGTTCATATTAATGCTTTCTTTAGCTCTATTTTTTATCAATGTCATTCTACAAATATTTGCTGAAATCAATACTTTTTAAAGTTTTATTATTATACAATCTTTCGTGTTTTACAAAGTCACAGATTAATAAAGAAATCTTCCAAATCCTCCAACAAAAATTTATTCTTTGCCTTTTTAATAAGAATTTTTAAAAATACAGTCTCTTCTTATTTTACGTAGCTATCCCTATCCTACTCCCTCTCCTCCTCCATCCCCAATTTTTAAAAAGCCATAATTTCTTAATTGATTCTTTGAGAATTTCACAGTATGCACCAAATTCTCCTCATTTCCCAGTTTCTTATATCTTCCTTTTACCCTTGCATCATCCCCCCAAAATATTAAAGCCAAAGCAAAACAACAAAATCTTCCCACTGCTCCTCTGCTTTTGCCCCTCTCCATCACCTCTTCATTTGGCTTTGTAGCAGTTGGGGTCAGATCTTCTGTACACTTTGTCCTATCAGCGTTACTGCAAATCACTGCAATCAGTCATTGGCCTGCATCAAGGTTTCTGTTTCATTACCATCACTGGACCCACACCAAAACTCTTCTTGGATATCCCATAATTGACCCAGTTATGGAAATTCGGTGGCTATCTTTCCACACCAGTCTCTTCACATTCTACAGTAGATTATAGTTTGCTTAGATGTTAGTATGGACCAATCCAAGGCCCTGGATATAGGCCTGTGTATTTGAGCTAGTCAGATCTGACTGCTGGAGCAACCCTCCTTAGGCGAGGGGCAGAGCCAGTTCTACTACAACAAAGCAATAAGGTCCAGTTCTCCCACACCTGTGGTGCGGGATGAGACCTTCTTTTCTGAATACAGGGGTCAGTGTTCCTGTGACGGTTGGGGCCTGTTCTCCTGCTACAGTGTCCAGTGAGGGACAGGGCCACCTTTCCAAAGCCCTATAAAGGACAGGGCCTGAATAGCTTTGCCTTCTGATTTTATCATGCTTGGTTGTTATGCACTTCTGTGGTAACACAGTACACAGATACCAACACAAACTCCATCTGCAGCAGGATCATGAACCCAGACACGACAATTGGCAGAAGCTAAGGCCTCAGCATAACAATGACCCCTCTGACAGATTAGCTTATCTAGATCAGTATGGTTCAGGGATATGACCATGGTCTCAGACGTCTGACAAGACCCCAGGTATCAAGATGGCCCTTGGTGATAACAGCCGTGGGCAGCAACTCAGACCTGGGCTGCTGTGGGGACACTGGTACAGGTATAACCTTTGGCAACAGTGTGGGCCTGGGTGACACCATGACCTTGGGTGGCAATTCAGGCCACTCAGGTAAGCATGGCTCGTGTGGCAGCATGCCTAGGACACCAACATGGCCCCATGTCGTGAACCAGACCCTTGGTGTTAACAGGAGCCAAAGACATCAATACAGACCCTGGCTATTGCAGCACCACAAACTCAGATTTGGTCCTCAGTTGCAGCTTGCATTTAGATGTCACCATGGCCCAAGGAGCAGTATAGGTCACCTAAATTGTCATGGCCCCAGTGGCAGCAGGTTCCTGACACTAACTTGGTCACAGGTGGCAGCACAGACCCAGGCATCTTCATGGTCTTTGGTTTCAATATGAGTCATGCATTTTAAGACAAACCCTGACTGAGGTAGGACCACAGACACAAACACAGCCCTCAGCAGAGCCTGGGTGAGAGCTCACCATGGTCCTGGGTAACACACACACACACACACACACACACACACACACACACACACAAATTATAGTAAATAAATACACTGAGAAATTCCATTTTCTGGTTGTCAGAACAATGGAATATTCCAGAATCTTCTGGCTGACTTTTAATAACTGGGGTTGGGAAACTTCATAACTTCATCCTCATGTCAACCTTTGGAGGCAGACAGGTCTAACACCCATACTCTGTATTCAGGAAGACTGTTGCTTGGGGGAGTTGATTGACTTGGATAAGCATATGCAAAAGAAGTATCAAGTATAAAACAAGATCTGCATATAATAGTATCCAGTGATTTTACATTCCTGACTACACTACAACCTTTATTAATAACAATAAAACAACAGAAGGGTAATTATTTTAAAAGAGTGGGGGGATGTGCACACACACATACGCATTAATGTTTGTATGCACAGACATTATATGTGTTCATACGGTGGCCAGAATCAATTTCTAGTGACTAACTAACATAATTACATTCTATTTTGTTTTTGAGACCAGGCCTGCCACTGAACCAAGATTTCACTAATTGGGATAGGCTGGATATCTGGCCAGGTTGGGCATATCAAAGGGTCTTCTGTTTCATTGTTGAGATTATAAGTACATAAATTGTACCTCTTTTTTTTTTTGGCTTATTGGTTGGTTTCGATTTATTTTATTTTTCCTTGATGCTTGTTATCTGAACTCAGGTCTTCATGTGTCTGTGACAAATTCATTATTGCTGAGTTACCACCCTAGACCTATAATAATTGTCCTTAAGTACTGTCTTAGGGTTTTTATTGCTATGAAGAAACACCATGAACATGACAACTCTTATAAGGAAAACATTTACTTAATTGGAGTGACTTGCCTACAGTTTCAGAGGTGCAGTACCTTCTCGTCATAGCAGAGACCATGGTAGCATGTAGGCAGACATGATGCTGGAGGAATAGCTGAAAGTTCCAGACCTTGCAGGCAAAAAGAAGTTGATTGAGTGTCACAATGGGGAAAGCTTGAGTAAAACAGACCTCAAAGCCCACCCCCACACTGGCACACTTCCTCCAACAAGACCACCTCTCCAGTATTGCCACCCTGTTTAGGGGCCATTTTCTTTCAAATCACCAAAAGTGCTTATGAGTAAATTTTAATTTCTGAAATTTTATTTCTTTTCTTTCCTCAATTTTAATTTCTTTCTCACTACCATGCATATCCCTTGCTTAGAGAACAGCAATAATGAGTTCAAACTAATTTCTAATGATAATTCTCACTCAGAATTCCCACCCATCAAGTATGGGCATACACTATCCCAACAATTTATAAATTTAGATATAAACACTTGGAAATTCTTCTTTTATTATGGGAAAACAAAGGTGATGAAATTGAAGTTGAGGATTTCAAAAATTTAATTCAACTAGCTTCGGGGGTACTTTAAAAGAAGATTTGTCTTATAGTTGCACTTGGGGTGCTATTATTGAACCAAAGGCTACAAGAAAAGCCATTAGTGTTTCTAATGTATGTTCTAGTAATTGTACTTGGCTCAACCCAATCAGTCTCAGATTCTACTTCAGCTATTAAGAAAATCTTTGGTTGTTTCCAGGTTCTGGCTATTACAAATAATACTGCTATGAACATAGTTGAACAAATGCTTTTGTCATATGATCGGGCGTCTCTTGGGTACATTCCCAAGAGTGGTATTGCTGGGTCCAGGGGTAGGTTGATCCCGAATTTCCTGAGAAACCGAAACACTGATTTCCAATGTGGTTGCACAAGATTGCATTCCCACCAGCAATGGATGAGTGTACCCCTTCCTCCACAGCCTCTCCAGCAAAGGCTATCATTGGTGTTTTTGATTTTAGCCATTCTGACAGGTGTAAGATGATATCTTAAAAACGACCCTATCCTATACCAATACTGACGAATATCTTGCATATCACCATAGAACCTTCATCTGGTGATGGATGGAGATAGAGACAGAGACCCACACTGGAGCACTGGACTGAGCTCCCAAGGTCCCAATGAGGAGCGGAAGGAGGGAGAAGATGAGCAAGGAAGTCAGGACCACGAGGGGTGCACCCACCCACTGAGACAGTGGGGCTGATCTATTGGGAGCTCACCAAGGCCAGCTGGACTATGACTGAAAAAGCCTGGGATAAAACCGGACTCTCTGAACATGGCGAACAATGAGGGCTGATGAGAAGCCAAGGACAATGGCACGGGGTTTTAATCCTACTTAATGTTCTGGCTTTGTGGGAGCCTAGCCAGTTTGGATGTTCACCTTCCTAGACATGGACAGAGGGGGGAGGACCTTGGACTTTCCACAGGGCAGGGAACCCTGACTGCTCTTTGGACTGGAGAGGGAAGGGGAGAGGAGTGGGGGGACAGGGAGAAGGGTGGGAGGAGGGGGAGGGAAATGGGAGGCTGGGAGGAGGAGGAAACTTTTTTTTCCTTTTCTCAATAAAAAAAAAAGAAAAGAAAAAAGAAAGAAAAAAAAGAAAATCTTTGGGCGACGGCCATTTCTTACATTTTTTTTTTCATATGTCAAGTGCTGGGGAACAGGGTTTAGGAATTAAAATGTGCTCAAAATCATTATCTCATCACAGTTTATCTTTATAACAGCATTATTGGTTGCTTAGCATTATTTTTAATTTGCCAGTGAAGAATTGAAATTGTTTCCATAGATACTCAATTAATTGCGCTATGTCACTCCAGGGGTTAGCATTGAAGAAGAACAAAGGTGAGTGGATGGAAATGCCTTATTCTCTTTTCTATTAGAGCAATTTTAGAGGATCCACTAGTTTCAGATGGCATAAAGAGTTCTCATATATGACCTTGTCTGAAGGTCAGAAACTTTCAGCTTGCTTGAAGTTGTTGCCATTCCACCCTGACCAAAGGTCAGAGAGTTGGAACTTAGTTCTACTCCTTCAAGGTTATTGTCTGCTTCTATCTCAAAGGTCTCAATTAGATTTAGGTCAGAGAGTTCTGCTTGCTCAAGGTTATTGTCAACAGGTGTGCCTAATATCCAGCCATTGTATTTCAGGTATAGAGAAGTAGATCTGTTTCTACCCCAAACAAAAGTTTAAGGATCCAACTAAGTTCATACTTCCTTAGGGAGACAACTATGGATTCTACCAAGGGAGTGGTTTTCCTACAGAATGTTTTGGTCTAAAGCTTGAGTGTTACTTGTCTTGTTCTAGCAACAGAATGTTTAACTTAGATGTAGCCTTCAACCTTCACTTCCTTGTATCATGTTAATGCAGCTTTTGCTCTTACTCCTATCTTTTGGAGTTATAGTATTTTAAGTAAATGGAAATTAAACATGGGCGATTTCAGTATTCACTGGGACTCCCTTCTATTACTATCCAATATTTCTGTTTTATTATTTTCACTTGCATCTTTCTACTCTTTACTAACTTTTCTAATCCGCAAGCTTCTACTTGGTAAATGGTATTACTGTCAAAGCTGGTCTCCTACTGTAGTTATGGTGATAGACTTTTAATAAAGATAGAAATATTTAAAGGCCCTTTCCTGTAAACATGATATGTGATTTAACCATTGTATGGTTATATTATTAGTGTTCTGAAACTGAGTATTGTATTAGTCAGAGTTCTCAACAGTCACAGAACTTATGGAATGAATCTCTTTATCCATATATATGGGAATTTATTGGAATGACTCATAGGCTGCAGTCCAACAATTGTTAGCTATAAATGAAAAGATCAAGAATCTAGAGTTGATCAATGACCTGAGGCTGATTGTCTCCACTGGTCTTCTGCATGTGCTGCAATCACAAAGACGTAGGCTCCAGTGCCAATGAAGGAATGCATGTCCACTCTTCCCAATCCACCCCATAGTTTCCTCTCTCTTGGATCTTTTTCTACTTTATATCCCTTCAAAAAAAATTTTAAAAAAAAATTTAAAAAATTAAAATTTAAAAAAATTTTTAAAAAATTTAAAAATTTAAGGCCTGGCCTGCTGAAAATATCATTGAAATAAAACATGACATAAAAAGCTAAAACAGTCTTGAGTTTAGTTCTTCAGTTACAAGTCTCCTTGTTTTATGATATTATTTCTCTCATTGGTAGATGCTTACTGATTTGTCTAGTTTGGATAGCCAGTGAGTCCCAGAAATATGTCTGTCCCTCTAGTTTGGGGATTGTGAGCAAGTACCACCACATCTACCTCCTTTACATGGTCTCTGAGGATTGAACTCATGTCCCCACTCTTACTGAAAATGAAATTTAGGGACTGTTCCATCTCCTTAACCTTAACCTGAGAATTGAACTCATGTCCCCACTCTTACTGAAAATGAAATTTAGGGACTGTTCCATCTCCTTAACCTTAACCTCCCCACTTATGCCTCTTTCTATAAGGGTCCAATTCCCATTGTGAGGACTAGTTCCTCATGACTTAGGTACTTCTCAACTGTCTCACTCCTTCACCATTATCTTAAAAGGTCAAAATTTCATCATGGAAATCTTGCTAGAATATTAATCTTTACATCATAGCAGATCATACAAGTGTGACAGGGATCCTTTCCCTAAGTATTATTTTACATTTTGATAGTGAATATAAATATTTAGTTAATCCATTGAAATATTTCAAATAATATA